ACGGGTACGGCATTTTCGTGGTATACATCGTTAGCTCCAGGTACTGTGTAGTCTTGGTCGGATTTGGAGAGGCTATTTCATGACCGTTTTTACGCGCCACTGGTGGAGACTACAATATCCCCCCTGGTAGCTGTAAAACAGGGATATGATGAGCCTGTGGCACAATTTTTGGAAAGGTTTCGACAGGCTAAGACACGGTGCACAGTGCAGATCCCCGAACAGCAAGCAACCGCGATGGCAGTGGATAATATGCGATCAGATCTCCGAGACCGTTTGGGAGTTCAGGATTTCCAGGATTTTTCGCATCTAAGTGCACTCGCAATGAGAGAAGAAAACCTCATTCGAGAGAGACGAGATGCTGCTGTAGGTAGGTGGAAAAAAGATGGAAAATCAGGAATAACTTACTGTGCCGATGATGCAATCTCAGCCGACGAAGACTGTGGTGAGGAACAAGAAGTGCTAGCGGCTGAACTGTTGAAAGGAAAAACTTATTCTTGTTCGGCATTGAAACCTACAAGAGGTAAAGAGGTCGGAGGCATGCAGTATACCTTCGATGTGTCTAAAGTAGAACAGATTTTTGATCATCTGCTGATGGACAAACAAATCAAACTCCGAGACGGGCAGCGAGTGCCGTCACCAGAGGAATTGAAAGGGAAAGTGTATTGCAAGTGGCATGGGAGTTATACACATGCTGCCGCCAATTGTACGTACCTACGAAACACAATTCAAAAGGCTTTAGACGAGGGTAGACTGAAGCTAGCGGAAAAGAGTATGCAGGTGGACATGAATCCGTTTCCTGCATCATCCATCAATACCATGTCTACAAGAGGTCTCAAGGGACAGAACAAAGGAAAGCAACCGGTTCGGCAATCGGTTCATGAACGACTCGGGCCCAGGATTCCACAACAGGGTTCAGTGTTCAATAGGCTGTCTGTGAGAAAGACGCTTAATGAAAATGTTAGAAACAAGGAGCCTAGGGTCGTAGAAAGGAGCCCTAATCTGAAAGTGACAATTCCGAATGCCTAGGAAGTTCGGGAGCGTCATGCAATGATAAATAAAGCCACAGCTCCAGGCTCCACTATTAAGCCGGATGCTACGGTGGCTGAAGTGAAAGTTGCTAGTGGGAAGCGAGTTTGGACCATTACATCTGCCGATCAGATTACTATTACTCCAAGAAAGACACGGAAACCTCCGTCAGCCGTAGATTCGGAGAGATGGACTGTTAATGTGCCGGAGACAAATTCCAGGAGGGAAATGGGTGACCTCACACATTCCTAGAAGAGAAAGGCACAAAGGAAACGACTACAGGCTAAGTTGGAAGCTGAAGGTGTTCAGCCAAATCAGAAAAATGCAGGGTTTAAAGGCAAGAAAATCAAATCGGAAATTCAGCAAGCAGCAAATCAGGACGGCAAAATCTCGGAAACCTGTGAGCAGAAAGAGAGACCTCAGAAAAATCAAGAGTTACAACCTCACATAATTTTCTCTACTCCAAACACAAGACCGACTCCAAACTAGCAGCGTCGATGGGTGCCGAAAACTGTACAACCACAAGAGTGTGGTGCTGGAGATGGTAATCTATCAGTCGTAGGGGTATTGCCTTCTGAATTCAAAGCTCCAGAAGGGGAGCAGAGTTATGAAGGAGTGACCGTAGATGAAGAACTAGCGGCAGAATGGAACGATATAGTGACAACGGTTACTTTTGATCGAATTGGGTCCGGGCAGAATAAACACGTAAAACCCCTGTACATTCAAGCTTTAATGGATGGACGACCAGTGGGCAGAGTATTGATAGACGGTGGCGCATTCGCCAATGTAATGCCATTTCGGACGTTTAGAAAGTTAGGAAAGACAAGGGATGATTTAATACCAACTTTGGTGAGAGCTACAGATTTCATGGGAAACTCGTATAAACCGGCAGAAATCGCTAATGTAGAGGTACAAGTAGGCACCAAGAAGTTGTCTTCAGCGTTCGTAATAATAGATAGTCGTCCTTTGTATGCGGCATTATTGGGGCGAGACTGGATTCACGCTTGCGAGTGTGTACCGTCAACTTTGCACCAAAAGCTGCTGTTCTGGGATGACGATGAGGTTGAAGAAGTGGAGACGGAGAAAGACCCATTCGCAGCGGAAGTTACAGCTGTAGATGCAACTTTCTACTATTCGAAGATGATCCCGTTGTCTGAAGTAATCGCCTCCATCCCTAACGAAGGCAATTATGAATGTGTATTTAGCGATAATCAATTCAGAATTCAAGAGAAGGCCGATCCACGGCCTATGAATGAAGAAGATTATGATGAATTTCGAATGCGTTAAAATTCAATTTGAGCCGCACGGAGCAGGCTCTGTTATTAATACAGGGCCGTTCAGAGCAGGTTCCACAGAAGGCGGTGGGCGGTTCGAAACAGATTCTGTGGCGAATCCGGAGCCGTCTAGAGCTGGCCCTTTGGAAAACCCTAGGCCGCCCGAAACAGGCTTTGTTACGCAACATCCAGAGCTGACCGGACAGACCCCGAGGAAGAAATGGAACAGCTCAGAGGAAAATGCACCGACGGTCCGGATTTGTCCAAGGAAAATACTAGCGAAGTGAAATTACCGTCGCCTGTGCATAAAACCTATCCAACGTTCCAGGCCCAGGATCTATTGGAAGATGTTGATCTGAGTACCGATGAATCTTCGCGAATCACCAAAGTTAGTGCGCTGTTGAAGTCAGAAGATCGAGCTGCTTTGGTGACACTTATAAAGGAGTACCGGGATTGTTTTGCTTGGGACTACGACGAAATGCCAGGCTTGGCTCGAGAACTAGTGGAACATCGGCTACCCATGAAAGCTGGATATAAACCTCACAAACAGCCGCCGCGAAGGTTCAATCCAGATTTATACCCGAAGATCAAGGAAGAGATCCAGCGGCTTTTGGGAGCAGGATTCATTTGGACTTGTCGTTACCCGGAATGGGTGGCCAATGTCGTTCCCATACTCAAGAAAAACGGAAAATTACGGGTATGCGTCGATTATCGCAATCTGAATCTGGCAACACCCAAAGACGAGTACGTCATGCCTGTTGCCGATATGTTAGTAGATGCAGCCGCCGTGAACGGGAGTTTGTCGTTTATGGATAGGTATTCCGGCTATAATCAGATTTTTATAGCTGAAGAGGATGTTGCAAAGACGGCATTCCGATGCCCAGGAGCCCTTGGAGTGTACGAATGGGTGGTGATGCCGTTTGGGTTGAAAAATGCTGGAGCGACTTACCAGCGAACAATGAACACCATATTCCACGATTTAATTGGACAGTCGATGGAAGTTTACATCGATGACATAGTGGTGAAATCCAAGACTTTTTCGGAGCACATGGTGGATCTCGAGCAAGCCTTCCGACGAATGAGGCATTATAACTTGAAGATGAATCCAACGAAGTGCGCGTTCGGAGTGGCCTCCGGGAATGTTTTGGGTTTCATGGTGCATAATAAGGGCATCGAGGTAGATAGTAACAAAACGAAAGCTATCATCAATGCCCGACCACCTGAGAATCTGAAACAACTTCAAGGACTCCTTGGGCAGGTCAATTTTCTACAGAGATTTGTCTCGAACGCTGCAGGCAAGCTTAAAGCTTTTTCCATATTGCTCAAGTTGCGGAAAACAGAAGAGTTCGTGTGGGAGCCGCTACACCAGCAGGCTTTCGAAGCCATTAAAGGAGCTATGGCCAATCCACCAGTGTTGATGCCGCCGCAAGCAGGCAAACCTCTGCGCTTGTATGTTTCCGCCACTGAAAATACGGTTGGTTGCTTACTGGCGCAGGAAGCTCATGATAGAAGCGAACGTGCCATTTTTTTTACCTTAGTAAGGTAATGAATGATGCAGAGACAAGGTACACTCCTATGGAAAAATTATGTTTTGCATTATATTACGCTTGTACGAAACTTGAATATTATCTAGCCTCGAGAGAAACAGAAGTGGTATGTCACGTCGATATTTTGAGTTACCTTTTAGGCAGGCCAGCTTTAAGGGGGAGACAAGCGAAATGGGCCGTAAAGCTAGCCGCATTCGATTTACGATATGTACCAATCAAAGCTGTTAGGGGACAAGTCGTTGCTAATTTTCTAGCAGATCATCCAAGCTCGGAAATTGTCCAAGCGACTGACCGTATGGAAGCTGTTATCGGTCCAATGCCGTGGATCCTGAAGTTCGATAGGTCCAGCACGCAAATGAGTGCTGGAGCTGGGGTATTCATCGAGAGTCCCTAGGGACAAAAGTGGACTGTTGCCAGGCCATTAACACCCGGATTCACTAACAATCAAGCGGAATACGAAGCCTTATTAGTTGGATTGAGAATCCTACGTAAAAAGGGGGCTAAGGCGATCAGAGTTCAAGGCGACTCACAACTAATTTTGAAGCAGATTACTGGAGAGTTCCAATGCAAAGATGAGAGGATGAGAAATCTTCGAATGGAAGCAGTTAGGATGTTGCAAACTTTCGATGACGCGATGGTGGAATTCATACCTCGAGCCGAAAACAGAATAGCTAATGATTTGGCTCAAGAAACATCTGGGTATAAGTCATCAACCGCAGGAAACTTCAAATCAGGTCGAGTACATTTGTACCCAGTGGATGCGGAAGACTGGCGTGTGGAACTGAGGAAATATTTGGAACAACCAACCGGTGAAACTCCGGAAAAGCTGCGGAAAGAGGCTCTGAAGTATACTTTGATTGACGGAGATCTTTTCCACAGAGCCGCCGATGGAATGTTAATAAGATGCGTAGATAATCAAGAAGCCATGAAGGTGATGGGTGAGGTGCATGAAGGAATTTGTGGAGCACACAAATCCGGGCCAGTCATGAGATGGACGATCCGACGATATGGGTATTTCTGGCCATCAATGATGGAGGATTGTATCAAGTACGCTCAAAGATGTGAAGCGTGTCAGCGACATGGTCCTTCGATCTGAATTCCGGCGGAAAAAATGCACGCAGTGGTGAAACCATGACCATTCCGGGGATGGGCGATGGATATCATCGGGAAAATCCACCCGCCATCTTCCAGACGCCAGTCGTTCATATTGGTGGCCACGGATTATTTCACAAAGTGGATAGAAGCTGTGCCGTTGGCTAATGTAACGTATCAGGAGGTGATCAAGTTCGTTAAAGAGCACATTATTCACCGATATGGAATCTCGCAGACGATCACCACCGATCAAGGTACTGTTTTTACCTTCGCCGCACAGTATGGGATCGCTCTTTTGCATTCGTCCCCGTATTACGCGCAGGCAAACGGGCAGGCCGAAGCAGCCAATAAAGTTAATTGGGGAAATAAAAAAGGCTGTAGAAGATAACCCAAGAAGATGGCACGAAGTGTTAGGAGAGGCCTTATGGGCTTGCATACAATACCGAAATAAAGCCACTGGTTGCACTCCATTCCAACTGGTTTACGGACTAGAAGCGATATTGCCGTTGGAAATCACGGTGCCATCGCTACGAGTGCTGAAGCAGAATTCGCTTAGTCCCGAGCAGTACGATACAACGATGTTACAAAGATTGGATGACGTACAAGAGGATCGGATGATGGCTCTGGAAAATATCAGGGCAAATAAAGTGAAAGTGGCTTGAGCCTACAACAAGAAGATACGTCGGCGAACATTCCGAGAAGGAGATTTAGTATGGAAGGCGGTGCTACCCGAAGGATTCAAAGACAATACATTCGGGAAGTGGTCTCCTACGTGGGAAGGTCCGTACCAAGTAAGTAAAGTACTGCCTAACGGTGCTTATAAATTGATGAGTATTGACGGGATAGAACATAGGAACGTTATCAACGTAAAGCACCTTAAAGGATATATGTCACCACTCGAGTTCAGATAAAGAAATGCAATGTGCAAACTGAAAGCATGCCCTGTTTAGGCCGCTAGATGTAATGAGCGAAATGAAAGCAGGCCCTGTTTAGGCCGCTAGATATGAAACAAAACAAAAGCAGGCTATTAAGCCGCTAACGTGCAAAACGAAGGTAGGCTATTAAGCCGCTGGTATGCAAAATGAAAGCAGGCTATTAAGCCGCTGGTACGCAGAATGAAAGTAGGCCATTAAGCCGCTAATGTGCGAATGGAAACAAAATGAAAATAAGTCATCGTAAATAGCCAAATGAGCAGCAAACCATAAAATCTAAACGAAACGGCGGGTGAATCAAAGAAAGGATAATGGTTCCCAAGGATAACGCACGGTATGAGGAGTATCCTTTGCTGCTGGGTCCATATCGGGCTCGGAGTTATCAGGATCAGGTGTTGCTTCCACGAGAACTAGATCCGTTGTAGTTAGAATCAAACCTTCCTTAGACAGAGCCGTTCCATCGAGGCCTAGCGCTGCTTCCGTAGGGACTGGATCCTTTGGAGTTGAAATCAGATTTGCCGGATCTGGAACCAGTCCATCAGGCCCGGGAATTGTTTCCATGGGGATCGGATCTATCGAGGGCGGAATCGGGTTTTCCAGAGCTGGAGCTGTTCCATCAGGAACTGGCGCTGCTTCTACTGAAGTTGAAATCTCTGGGGCCAGGGCTACTCCAGCGACGATTGGAACCACACCTGCAGAAGTAAGGCCCTCCGAAGACAAGGCCGTTCCACCAGAGCTCGAAGCTACACCGGTTAAAGCCGAGCCCTCTGGAATCGATGCTGCTTCCTCGGAGACGGGGACTGCTGAAGTCGAAGGTAATTCGGAAGTATTATGGTATGCTGCCACTTCTAAGGCTGACATCAAATCCCTCACAACGTGAGCAATAAACACTTGGACGTCGGCAACAATCTGCAACGAAGGCTCAGCTACACTACTGGAAGGAAGAGCCGTCGAAGAAGCCATACAACTTGATACTTGCGTTCACCAAACAGGAGAAAAGCCTTCGAAGGAGAAACGAGAGAAGAAGTGGAAAAGGGGAGTGATGATAAACCCCCCTTGAATGTCTTTTCTCTCTTAGACGACGCGGGAATCGAAGAAAGCAGCCGTCACATCAAGGTTAGAGGGGTTGACGTGAGATATCAAGTTGGGATAATTTTGTGCCAAAGCCCAAGAGGGTAAGTCCCACACGAAGGAGGTCCCAAAAGAGAGCAAAGCTTCACCTAGCTTACATTTCATCTCTTTTTGAGGAGGGCAATTGTTGGACCCCAAGTCCAAAATGACTCAAATGTCGAAGATAGTGACTTCCATCAGGCTGCGGAGCTTCCATGGAGCAAGAAGATATGACTTCTATAAACCTTCGGACGACAAGCTCCATCAACTCTGAATCGGCAACCTCATGACACTAATGGAAGACCATGAAGAGTGAGGGTTCCATGTAACTCAAGACTGTCGGAAACATATTCCCGTAGACCGGCTGAGAGTATGATGAAAACGAATCAGGGTAGGCTGCAGGTATGATCTGAAGGCAATGGAAGAGATCCAAAGTGAATGGAACTTGGTCCAGGAACGATGGAAGATGCTCAAGACGAATAGAACCCAGTCCAGGAGCAATGGAAGCCGCTGGGAACTGATGAAAGGAGGTTATTTGATGGTTAGGAGAAGTAGAAAGAAGTGGGAATAATTTGTAACCACCCCTGTTAGTGGGAGAAGTGGTTATTCTAGCCTAGGATTACAAGTAGGAAAAATAAACACAACACACAACAGAACAAATCGCATCTTTTCATATAATTCCGTAAACACACAACACACAACAGAACAAATCGCAAAAAACTGCCTTGCAACTTTCGAATTTGCTGAAATCTCCCTAGCTTCGAAAATTCCGTAAAATCTACTTGGGGATTTAAAATTGTTGCAAAAACCCCATTTTATTTAGAACTTAACGGAATTGTATCCCACACGCCCAAACTGCGATTTTTCTATGAAATTGATATATTGTTAGGTGATATATTATTTGATAACATTTTTAACTACAACACGACATTCCTTAAATTACCATTAGTTACATCCCACATCTAAATTCAAATCAAAAGTAAAATAATCCTTTCAAGCACACTCAAATGAGAATGCACCATCAACTAAAATTAGAATTAGTAGGTGATTGTGAAATAAATTGCATCAATTACCTCAATCAATGTCACCACCCAGAATGCTCCTGCAACCAAACTTTCTTGACTTAGAAGAAAGAAGAGGGAAAAAATTATTAAATTTTGAGGCCTAAGAAACTGACACCACTTGTGTACTTAATAAAAGGATTTTGAGTTCAAACCCCGATGTCGAGCCTAATTTGCGGGGTATTAGATTCGGACGAGAGTTTACCCGGTGCTCATTTTTAGGTAGCCACCAAAATTTTAATGTTTAATTTTAAAATGATTTAAATTTTCGAAAGCAGAAAAGAGATTTGAACCATTACTTAGTCATTTAAACCATATTTGATATTTTGTCCTGGTTTATTAAAAATAATTTCAGTTTATATATATATATATATATATGTGTCATTATAATGTGTGTGGATCGTCTATCTACAACATGTATATATTTAAAAATATTTTTTTTCAAAAATATTACATCCAAATCATTATTAAAATTTAATAAAATAAAAACACACTACTCTCAAAATTTGGTAAATCGTTTTGTGTACTTACTTTTCAACTTTATTTTTCTTAAAACATATTACATGACGTTTTATTTAAATTTAAAATATTATATACAATACTTTATTTCCATTTGAATTTTTATTACAACGCTTGCTCCCGGAAGATAACAAAAAGTCTTATATTCACGTCAGGCTAATCAATAAATAATTCCACATTGTACCTAACCAAATAAAATATTTTCCAACCTGTATGGAATCCCGAGTCTTGATAAACATAATTTTCTGAAATAATCGATCATAAATATTAATGAACATATTCTAATGAACAAATCAATAATAAACTGACAAGTGGAGTCAATAATCAAAGTATCACTCCGAATGATTACTATAAACCTCAGATTAAATTATATCTCCCCTGCTACCTTCCACCTTCACTTTGACTTCGATCTGAACAATTTTGTTGCAGAAACAATATCGAGAGCTTTTGATCAGACATGGCTGTTGCTGCTTATGCATCGTTGGTTTCTCTTACTCATGTCCTCAACAATCTCCACTATCGCGCCCGCTTTAATCTCCCTCGTGCCGACATCAAACAAGTCGAAGAACTCAGGGAAAAAGTCAATTCCTTGCTGGAATTTGTCGAGCGTCATTCGGCAAGAAAGAGCTCTGAGCTTCGAGGTCTGTGGAGACAAATGACTGAGGCTGCCGCTGAAGCAGAAGGTTCCATCAACTTCCATGTGGTCCATCTGCTCCATGTGAGATCTCAAGGAGAAACGAGTGATGCTTCCAACTTCTCAGCTTTCTGTGAAGAAATGAAGACATTGATCAAAAAGTTTTGCTCCATCGAAGACAAGCTTCCGGTGATTGACGGAGGGGAGGATAATCAAGCTCAAAAGCAATCCAATTCTGTCGTTCCCTCTGGTGGTTCGTCTTCAGCTTCTTCGTATGTCAGCGATCTTGTTGTGGGACTGGACGAGCATGTAAACGAGATCAGGGAAAAGCTGGTCGAAGGTAGATCTGATTTCAAAATTCTCCCAATTGTTGGGATGGGCGGTATTGGTAAGACCACTCTGGCTAAAAGTGTCTTTCACGATAAGTTTATTGTTGAGCACTTCGATTTACGCATTTGGCTTCCCATATCTCAACAATATAATGCTGAAGAAATTCTTAATGTTGGCCTCGGTGGAAAGGCAGGAGAAAACAAAACATGTGAAAGTTTAGATGAATTGGGAACTAGATTCTACCAAAAATTGTTCGGTAGAAGATATTTGATTGTTATGGATGACATGTGGTCAACTGGAGCTTGGAATGATTTACGGAGGTATTTTCCCAACGCTGGAGATGGAAGTCGTATTTTGTTAACAACTAGACTCTCAGACATGGCTGCTTCTTTAGGATCTTATGATCCATATCGATTAACTTTTTTAGATGAAAATGAAAGTTGGAGATTATTTTGTCAAAGTGCTTTTTCACAAAAGGGTTGTCCATACGGTCACTTGGAAAAGTTTGCAAAGGATATCACAAGAAGCTGCAGAGGCCTTCCTTTAGAAATTGTTGTCGTTGGCCGTTTGCTAGCAAATTCTGGTATGACTGCAAAATATTGGGAAAATATTTGGAGAAATATTAGTTCATTTGGTGATTTGGGAGACGATGACCATTGTATGAACATACTCTCTTTAAGTTATGAGAACTTGCCCATTGAACTCAAAGTGTGCTTTTTATATATGCGAGTTTTTCCTGAAGATAGAATGATTTTTGTCTCGGAACTTATTGACTTATGGATTGCTGAAGGATTCATTAAACCTGTAAGTGGTAGACGTTTGGAGGATATCGCGAGCGAGTATGTAAGTAGCCTTATTGGTAGAAATCTAATATTTAGCAAGGATGAAGATCAATGTGGTATTCATGATCTTCTACGGGATCTTTGTTTTAGAGAGTCTAACGAAGAATGTTTTCTCCAGTTTCCACGAGTACAAAGGGTTAACCAACTAAAAGGCATTTTTTGCAACCATTGTTGTAAAAAAGTCAAGGACAGTGAAGGGTTACATGTTTTAAAACCATCTTATATCTTTGGATCGCCATCACTAGACAATCCTCGTCTTTGTGATGCTTGTAATAAGGTGTACTCGCATATTACAAGACATAGTTTGGTAAGGATGGCAAATTACAAAGATCAGGAAATTTTGCAGCCAACAGAATTGCGACTTCTTGATTTAGATGTGCAAGAATTGTTGTCTCCTTCGACAATATATTTACTTTGGAATCTTCAAAGTTTAAATATTGAATTAAACTCTTCTTCACCTACAAGTTTTCCGTCAGAGATATGGGAGATGCCACAACTCAGAGAGATTCGATCTTCGAACCAAATGCTTTTACCGAATCCTACAGACACTGATATTGATGGGGAAGAAGTTCTTATCCTTAATGACCTTCACACTATAGACTCAGCATGCAATGTGAAGTTTACTAAGGAAATCATTGATCGTATCCCAAATTTGAAGAACTTGAATGTGGAGTATGACTATGGAAACGAGGAGGACATGGAGGATTTGTACGACTCCGAAAATGAGGAGGACATGGAGGATTTGTACGACTCCGAAAATGAGGAGGATTTGAACTTTTGTCTATGTAATCTTGAGCAACTACAAAAGCTTGAATCACTATCAATAAGCTATTCCTCGGAGAGCATGACCTTCCCTAAATCACTAAAAGAGTTGTCCTTGACAAATTGTGAAATGACATGGGAAGATATGTCGATTGTTGGTTCATTGCCTAGTCTCGAAAAACTGGAGATACATGGTCAGATACAAGGTGACGATTGGGAGCCTGGCGTCGACGAATTTCATTGCCTGAAAGAGCTGCAAATGCATTATACTCGTTTACGGCGTTGGGAAGTTGGTGCTGAAAACTTCCCAAAACTTGAGCACCTTCTACTCAAAGGATTGTATTCACTGGAGGAGATCCCTTTAAGTGTTGGAGATATACCAACATTGAAATCAATTGTGCTGAATGATTGTAGCGAATCTGCAGCTGACTCGGCAAAGAAACTGTGGGAGGATCAATACGAGTTCGATAATGACATTAGGATTGATCTTATCAATATAGGCGGGGTCTCGTATACAGTTGGTACGTCTACTGCAAGTATGACCGCGACTGCTTGTAAATCTTTGGCTACATTCAAACATCTTCAGCAAAGACTCGAGGAGGTTTCTGAGCTTGGCCGTAATTCTATAGACAAAAAACAAATGGAAGTTTTGAAAGAAGACATTGATTTCTTGCTGGACTTTGTCAAAACTTTTCATCCGAGTAAAAGCCAAGAAATCGAGAATTTGTCAAGTGAAATAGCTCAGGCTGCCCATAAAGCAGAGGTTGTGATCCAGAGGCTACACTTGGAAAATTTGACGCCTATATTCGATAAGATCATCCTCGAAGATGTGGGGAGTTTGTTGGCGATAATCGACTTCATGAAAAGGAAGTTATCGGTGGCTAAAGAGGAAGGGAAAGAAGACGAATATGAGAGCCTTCAAATTAATGTCACTGATAATGATGCAGAATTATCGTATGATATCAAATCATTGAGAATCCATTTGGGCAGGACTGTTACTGATGAAGATTTGAGAGAATATCGAATCAATTCTGTGACCGCGACAATGGCGGAGGCTGCTAGTTTACTTTGGTCTGAATTAGCTTGCATCTTGGAGCTGCTCCGGAAGGCTTATGAACTCAGCCGCCATCATCTGAACGTAAAGAAAATGGAAGAGGTCGAAGAATCCATCAGTTTCTTGCAGGATGTTGTCGAAGTTCATCCTGAAAGACAAATCCAAGAAATCGAGAGTTTTTCATGGAAATTTGGCCATAGCTTCGATGTACCAACGCTTTTGGATTCCGAACAACGTTGGCGGAGATCTCTCAACAACATAGCCGATGAAGATCTCAAATCCCTCTTGAGAGATGTGGAAAGGATGACAAAAAAAATATGCTCTGTGAAAGATACGTTGTTGGCACCAAAAGGGGAAGACAACTCTACAGATGATGAAGACGATGACTCTTGTTAAGGTATATTTTTATCATTCTAATATTTCTCTCTCCTCGTTAGGGCATTGTTGCACGAAGAGCTCTCGTTCAACCTTCAGCTTTATGTTTTATTTGTGCATGATCTATGACAATCACAATAAGAAAAAATCAGTTTTGTAACAAAATCTTTTTGTCTCTAAATCTACTATTTCCGTTACTAATGACATTAGAGACGGAATTAGGAATGGAATTACATTAGTTACATGAACTTTAGGGACGGAATTCCGTTACAAATATATTATTTTTTTGTAGTGAATGTCGAATCCAAATTCCAACTTTAGGTTTATTTCGCACGAGGAAACCACTGGTGAAAGGAAGTTTCGATTTTGAATGTTCTTTTGTTGTTGTAACTTTATTGGTTGATTAAAATGGTGTTGTTAGGTTCACGATCGATCCTACCCACGTTCCACTGAAGACGAAGATTGAAATTCAGGTATGATCGATCATCTTCACTATTATTTCACTAATACTTATGTGATTATGCTTTGTTCGAGATGATTTGCACAGCAGGTGGTATTTTTTAACAGTATAGGATAGTATGTATAGAAAAAAAATATTTCAGGAGGCTGTTGCGATTTCATGGGTAGTATATGTGGCCATTTTCACATAAAACCTTTTTTCTGGTGGAGTATACCTATATTTATTAATCTTATACCTATGTTATCTGATATTGTATGCTTTATTATTTTTTTTAAAATGTCCTTGTTTGGTTGATATGTACTACGACTACTTATGTATGAACCTTAGTATATATTCCATATGCTTTTAGATTGTATGTTCATAACATCTTGTTGCTATGCAGTCGTGTATGTCGAAAATAATGAAAATTGAGAATAGTTTTGTTGGAGGTTAAGTTTTTTTCTTCATGTTGATATTTAGTAAAATCGGAAAGAATATATTTTTTGGATAGATACTTGGAACTTCTAAAATTTATTCCCATCGTATTTTTCGGAGCCACCAAGCATATTGTCTCTGGCACTTAGTGGACAACTTTCGCACACATGTATGTGTAGAATGTATGTTTCATTATTTATGATATGTGCAACAAGATAATTACATTTCTTGTATGGAATGCGGAGATATCCGATGCACCACAAGAAACAATGGACGTCCGTTTTCAACAAAGCTACTTACGAAGAACCCATTAACCCGGTGCCGACTCATGATATGGATGTGGCACAGAACAACCCCCAGCCAAAAATAATTCCTCCTACAACATCTATCCAACCAACTCGGCCAAAATAAGATGGTTTAAATCACAACAGGTAAAACAATCTAAAGAATATGGTCGTTGTGGTCGCCAAGGATAGAACCGACGAAGTTGCATGGAGGATTTAGCTTAGCAATTTCTGATTTCTCATCATATAATTGGAATTTCTTTTTATTTTTTTGATGATTGTACATTAAATGGAAATCTTTGTACGAGACCACTATTGAATGATTTCAAAATTAGATGATATTCCTCTTTTATTCCTCATTGTACACAACTAATATGTGGGGTATGTTCATTACGAATTAATTGCAAATTAGTTGTATTCTGGGGTATATGAATTCACAACAAAAATACATTAAAGTTATTGTAGGTGTATAAAATCTGACCAAGAATAACAATTATCAACAACGACAATACACTAGATATAGAGCTTGACTTATTAAATTCAGCGTAATATTTGAGGTCATCTGTGTCCCCAAAATACTCCTTACGATATATCATGACCCACAATATGTTTCCATAATTTATCTTAAATTACATTAACATTGAATCAGGTGTATGCATTTAATTTTTTCGACGGAGTTTTTATAATGACAATGCAAGTATTTTATGATGTTTGAGAAGTATATTCATTAATACCGAAGGAATACATAGTACGAGTAAGCAAACGCATCTTTGTGTATGGAAGTATTCATATTTGAGTGCAAGTATTATTAATGTGAACACGAGTATTCAACCAACATGGCCAAAATTTGTCCATGATTGTTCTTAGATCAAAAAACTACGAGATGATTACATCATATCCACTTTCTGCGCAGTGAGTGTGTAGTAAGAAATTCTTCTAAGATGACATACAAAAAAATCTATCAATGCATTCAATGGTGGATGAAGAATGTCACTTACGATATATATGAAATAAAATATGTTGAGATGATCCATAATAGTAGATATATTGAAGTCACTGTATAACTGATGATCTAACACGTTCTTCATAATGTGATTGTCCGTCCAAGCATTTCTGATAGTGAGAAGTAACACCCGAAGAGAGTAAATGGACTAGAAGTGATAGAAAATATTAATTGTGAGACATATTGGACTTTCCACAATGTAAGGAATATATTAGTCATTGATGTGGACTTGCCATCGGTCCATCGGTGTTTTCAAGACAATTTTATGAGTACACATATTCTCAATGTACACCGATTCTGGGTAAAATTACTTAGAGATCACATTCCTTCATACGAGTAGATTCAATTAGTTCAGAGGTATATAAATTAAATATGGAGGTACAAATATCACCATAGGGGTATATGATCTCGGTCTAGGGGTTTTTCGACACTCAATAATGTAATTTTCCTAACTGAAGTATATTATTTACTTTTGTGGGTACTTGTTCCCCTCCAGTATATCTGTGCAGTGATTTGGGTGCTGAGAAACATATAGAGGTATATATTAGAAATTTTGGATTACCAATAATGAATAGAGATGTATACATGACCAAAATGTAAGTATATATAAGCAACCTTTTAAAATATCATTCGTTAGTTTAAAATAGTCGGTGATCAACAAAGTTTACTTTAAAATATAACATCAACGGTTAAGTACCCCTATTTAACCACAAATCTAAGCTATTCATCAATCCGATCCTAACAAATTGCATCCTAAACATTCAGATTGGACTAGACAGACCCTCCGGTGCCCTTTGCTAAAATTCTTGCTGGAATTTTAGCCTTCAAGTCTTGGCCTCATCGAATTCGGGCGCCAGCCGCCCGGTGGGTAACGGTCTTTATTGTATAAAGCGTAGCTCTTAGCTATGCATACAAGTGGGCACAATCGAGACTCTTACCTTGATATCTGTATAGTCTCTTAAGTTTAGTCATCTTTATATAAAACAAATGTATAGATAATCTAAAGGTAAGACCTTTGTATTCTTTTTCGGGTCTACCATTATTTCAACAAAAAACACAAGTTTATGGCATACGAAAATAAGTAATCTTCTATTTGAGACATATAAATTAACAATCAAGGCACACCAAAGGCAATGAGAGACACTCGAAAATAATATAAATAACAAACAAAATTTTTATTAATCAACAAAACAGACATTTATAATCCTAAACCCTAACCAACTTCATGAGAAAGGCATCGTCCAACACCATAGTACTTAAAAAATCACCCGACAAAAAATAATTTGTCTACGGTATTTGAAGAAAACAAGAAGCACCGCCCGCCTCACATCTCAACTATTTTACTATAAATATAAATCTAGAACATTGCAAATAAATGTACTTCTAAAGACAATAAGATCATTTAAAATTTTATACACATAAAAATAACTCATATTCGACCCGATGGTGCAATACGATATCAAAGTAAAATGACCCGTTACCAAATCTTGTACAAACCCAACTGAGACACAAATAAAATAAATCCAAGTACACCATGAACTAAAAAACTTGATCCTACCAAAAATATAAACTTTTAACTTATTTTTCAAACTCCGCTTTGAGGTGGATGTTTTTTTCGACATCTCGAGCGGGAACGGAGCTCTGGCTGGCGAGTGGAGACTTCCGACGACGGCGAAAGTTTATACAATGAGGCTTGACGGCAATTACTTTGACGGGGGGTTTCGACGGAGAAGGGTAGTTTGAGAAGAGATGAGTTTCAAAAAAAATAACCAAGCTACAACTTTAGATGGTGGGTTTTATTAGAGTTTTTTTTTTTTTTTTAAATTTCTGTAATAGATTTCAGTATATAAATAAATAATTTCAGGCACATCACTTGATATTTTCTTTGTAGCAGTGGGATAATTTTGGAGTATGTAATTAGATAATATAGGTCTATATAAAATTAACAGAAGTACATACAATATTCGTAACATTATATTGCGATTTCAGGGGTAAAATGGGTACTAGGGAGTTAAATGTAAATGGAAATTAAAAGTAGGGAGTGCCAGTGCACTATGAAAATCAAGAGGGACTGAATTTAAATGTGTCTTAGCTTAGAGGGATTTTAGTCCAAGTGCCCCAAAATATATTTTATTTTCATTTAATTTCTGATATACGCTATATATGATAGTCTGTTTGGTTATGATTGGGTAAAAAATAAATTTGAAATACTATTTTAAAAAACCAGTAATTATACTTTTGTAAAGAATAAAATTATATATAATATTTATTGATGTTGGGGTGCAAACCCAAGTCCCACATCGGAATTTGTGAAGAAAATTTCACACCTTATAAGTCCCAAGTGAACTCCACTAGAACGAGGCTTTTTGGAGAATATCCAAAAACAAATCCGTGCGGGCTCAGCCCAAAGCGGACAATATCATACTAGTGTTGAGTTGGTTAAGTCCCAACAGCGGGTCGGGCAGGGAAGGTCATTGGTTGGTCCTTAGTTTGAGGGGAAGTTGGAAAGAAAATTTTGGAGGATATCCAAAAACAAATCCGTGCGGGCTCAGGCCAAAGCGAATAATATTATAGTAGTGTTGAGTTGACCCAATCTATAAATATATATTATAGTAATTATAGAAGCATTTAATTATGCATATTTTCTGTTACGATCTATGCAATAAATAACTATCAATCTCTATATGGAAAATAATATCATTTTTTATTAAAATCTAAAACATTATTAAGTATCATAGGGAGGGTGTTGGTTTTGTGGGCGAGTTTCTCTCAATTCTCCATTCGGACAATTTTTGCCTCGTGTAGAAGATAGAGTAATATTTTGACGCTACGCAGTCCAATTCTTTTGTTGAATACGACCATATTGCTTTTGCATCGTTGTCAAATGTGGCTAAGCTTATATATACATATCGGTCGTGTTTGTCCATAATATACTTGCAACATATTTTGTACTTTCAAATAGCATATTGTACTATGATTGACATCATATATTACTTATATGGAAAGCATGGTAATAATCGAAGTGGCTAGCGCAAATCTTGAGTTAAATTCTTATTAAGTTTAGTTTCGTATATGAAATGCATAAATGACATTTTTATATAGAGAACTATTATTTACATCAATGGATAATATATCTATTACATTAAGAAATCTTATGTTTTTTTTGTCTTACTCAATAGTTTTTTCTTTCCCTTTTTTTCATTTTTTATGCTGGGGTTGCCCCCAACCCAATCATTTTATTTTCTTTTATATATAAAATTAATTTTATATTTTTTAATATATAGTGAATTGCCTCCCATAAAAAATTATTTCATTCAAATCCTAAAATCCATCAATTGTTTCTCTCTGTTTAAATATTGTTTGTATAGATTATAATATATAGGCAAAATAGCAAAAACATGCCTTGTGACTTTCGAATTTGCTGAAATCTCCCTAGCTTCGAAACTTCCGTAAAATCTACTTGGGGATTTAAAATTGTTGCAAAAATCCCATTTTATTTAGAACTTAACGGAATTGTATCCCACACGCCCAAACTGCGATTTTTCTATGAAATTGATATATTGTTAGGTGAAATTACAAAATTACCCTGAAGCCCTTTTACATATATTTAGAAAAAAAAAAAAAAAACCCTTATTAAGTAGTAATAATTAAAAGACATATAATTTCCAGCTTCCCTTCTTCAATGGAACAACGCCCTTCTCACTTCACCGCGGAGGTGTTGTTCTAGTTGGCCCGATGCCGCGCACCGCTCCTCCGCTGCCGCCCGCAGCCGACGATCGCCGCGCAACATCAGTTACCTATCTCTTTCCTTCGGTTCAAATCGACGCAATTCGCCGGCAGTGTTGCTCTTCTGTAATTCCAGTCGCCGCCTCCAGCCTCTTCTCTGCACAGCCTGTGTCCATCCAAACTCGCCCAAGTCCAAGCGCCACCAGGTCGCCCACGCACACCAGGCCTAGTCGCCTCCGACCATCGCCCCTGCCGCGCCCAAACCCTCACTCCACAAATTTTCCAAAAAAAAATTCTTTTTTCGGGGGTAAGAAGAAGAAGAATAAGGTGGATATAAGTAATCTACATCACAGCTGGCCTCCGATCACACTCATCAACCATGAAAAAATTCGTCAAGAACAACAAAATTCAACTAAAGTACAACGATTTTTTTTTTAAAAGAAAATAGAAATCCAATAGGCAGAATAATTGAATCTAGACGTCACTGCTAAATTAGGATATACCCAAAGAGTGATTTCAAAAAGCAAAATGAAAGAATAGAGATTTGGAAAGTAGGGCAGAACAGTGACGTAAGAGAACCGGAGCAGCGTGCGGCGTCACAACGGCGGCTAGCGGACCGGATAGAGGGGAAGAAAATAATTTGGAAATTTAAGTTTTATTATAGGAAATGATGAAAATGATGCTGAAGGGAAGGGAATAGAGAAGAAAAAAATAGGTAGGAAAGAAGAAAAATGTGGAAGGAAAGAAGACTATGAAATGGTGATAACCGGTAGTGGGTGTTGATCGATGGTGAGAAGGTTGAAGAAAGAGGTGGCTATGGCGGCCGGAATCGCGATGGTGCAATGGCCGCGGTAGTGTGGATTGGCGGAAGAAGAGAATGAAGAAGGCGGTGGCGTTGTTGAAAGAGACGAGGAAGGAGAGAGAAAGTTCTATAGAGTAAACAGAAGAAATCTAATTTAGATAGGGGCATAACAGTCAGTATATGTAAAAGTTTAACACCTTTAGTGTAATTTAGAATAAACGGGCAATTGTGCAACATTTTAGAAACCACGTGTAGATTTTATGGAATTTTTGAACCACGAGGGTTTTTAGCAAATTTGAAGAACTGGGGAATTTTTGCTATTTTTCCTAATATATAATATATTATTTTTTATTTATAAAAATATTATATTAGAAGAAAAAACAAAAATACATCTTATAATATTCATGCCCAGGGCCGGTCCTGACTTTCGAAGGGCCCAAGGCGAAATAAAAATTAAGGGCCCTTAAATATATATATATAAAATATTTTTTTATCTATAATAAAATATAAATAATAAAAAAAAACTTTTTTTTAGTATTCTTATGCAAAAAATATCAATAATAATAATAATAACGCAAAATTGTTCACAATTCTCATATAGTTTTGAAACTTAGCATAAAATTTTCGTATACTTGTGGTGTTGTATTAATTAATATTAACTTTGTTTAATGCATGAAAAAAAAAATTTCAGTAACACTTAACCATCAAACAATATTCCTCTATTAACACAATAAAATCAAATAATATTTATATATAACATAAATATATAATGCACCCTATTTAGATTGGGCCCTGGACGGGCGCCCCTCTCGCACGGGCCTAGGGTCGGCCCTGTTCATGCCGCTATTTTCTTATTTGTTTCTCCTTTTCTTTTCTTTTATTTTTTAGAAGAAAAATTGTGTGAAAATTAAAAATAAATTCATTATGAAACGATATCATTATATATAAAATATCAAAGACATACATTCCTATCTTTTCATATTCCCTGTCTATGATGTTGAACTTTTCTTGAAGATAAAAATATTTTTTATTTATTTTATTTAAATTTTTTAATTATTGATTAATTGAATATTAAAAATTTTATGGACATTTTAACCCCAGCTGGGATGTTTGTTCCGTCATTGCATATTCCATTTAGGAGTGCCAATATATAATAAAAGTATACTAACATATACTTTTACATAGTATAACATTTGTTGTGTTATGATTGTATTATAAATATGTTATGTTGTATATAATATATATTTTATATTTTTATTACATATGTTGATTTGGTTAAATCATTACTATGCTTATTTGGTCAAATAAGTTAGATCTGCCACCTGCATTTAGATATATATGTTAAAAAGATAATGTTGTTGATGTTGGTTGACTCTTGTATATAAATAAATAAATAATGTGGGCGTATCCCTTCAATGTATTTTATCCATTCTCAAGCCCGAGATGACATCAATTCAAGTTAAGTGTATCGGTTCGAAAAATTCTCATAATAGTACTAGGTAAACGTTAACCTATATTTCATCTTTAACCTGAGGATATAACCATTAAAAATTATGAATTATATCAAACCAATTCATCATTTTAGCAGGAGTAAAATTAAACATACAAAGGAATGTAATACAAATTAGTAACTGTTATCCCAAAACAATTTTTACACGGGCAAGAGCGTCCCAAAACGGGATTGGTCCAAGAATTTCCCAAGGCTTTGCCCAGAAATAAAAGCCCATTACGGATAAAAGGAAGCCCAAAGTCAGATCGGCCCAAGAGATCATTTTTTTTTAATAACGTGGAAATCTGCAATCGCTGCCAAAAGTGCAAAGCCGAACCTAACATGCTGAAACTAAGTCTGACAAGACAAGTCATGAGGTCGACCTGGAGGCGTTAGGGTTTAAACCCCACGATTACAAGTTCACTCCCCATACATCAGACCTCTTTTTTCTTTTTTTTTTTTTAACATGGTATGCGCAGTTACCCATAACCAAACCAACCTTATACACTACAAACTAGGCCCACAAGGCAAGTCACACTAGACGAATGTGTGGCAGGTGGACCTAGAGGCATTGGGTTTAAACCCATGACCGCATGATCACAAGTTCACTCCCCAGACCATTAGCCGATCCCTAATGAAACAATCATACCCAAGAGATCATCTTTTTTTTTTTTTTTTTGATCGGATACCCAAGAGATCATCTTTGTTCCTATAATAGGGGGAGAGTGAAGAAAATCTTGAGAATAATATAAAAAAAAGGAAAAGCAAGAGTCAAGAGAACCATCCGAACCAGCCAAAAAACCTAGCTTGATTCATCATTACTTCAGCATCTTTTGTTTCCAGTAATTCAATTCCTAGATGATTAATTTTTGTTGCTAGACTAGACCGGATATTTTCTTGAGTAGACCAGGAACCCAATTCACGTCGATTTCACCAGGCCCAACTCATCCGGCCGTTATCGACGAAATTTTAGTGATAACAGACACATCCAATGGACTTCTATGCAGTTGAGGAATAGGAAGTTACCATCGCCAGACGAAACCACAATGTCGAAGGCGAAAGGAACTGCCGTTGAAACTTCAGCGCCGCACGTATCCGGAGAAATCACGCAGGATGAATCCTCTGCTGCTCCCGAAAGTGAGGAAAGGATTGTGACTATTTCTGCCAGTGCTTTTCAAAATCAAAAATTTGTGGGGAAATCCAAGCAGCCCTCCACGAATTGGCTTTGACACTCTCTCAATATCTCGTCGACATCCTCAGGCCAACCAAGCTAGAAAGAAAAAGTTGAATTACTTAAACTTAACACCCTTCTATATACAACTCAAAGTAAACTATCAAGATCGAATTGATATCTAAAGGTTCTATACTATCTAATGTTTACAAGAAATTAATATAAATACGTACACAGAAATCTTACATACTTCTCTAGCCTTCTCCCGGAATTTAGCTACCGTTTGGATTTTCTCTGGTGGCTAATTATGGTTGTTTCCATTTTTTTTTCTTGTCACTATTTTGAGAATCTACAACAAACAGATTGTGTGCATGGATCAAATATTTTTATTTTTAGTTTTGTAAATATTAAACAACGTATCCTAATGGCTTTGAACTTATACTCTCTATACTTAGCAACATAGTATATTGCTAGAAAAAAAATGGGGAAAAAAATTCAGGACTTAAAATATTCTTTAATATCTTGTGAGGCTTTCGACACTGTCGTGGGAGGGATAAGAGTTCTTCATCACTTACATCTTCTGGAGAGTGTTTCCCGAAATGCTTTGAATTTATAAGCTCTCCATTGATGCATTGATGAAACCAATTTGCTATTATAATTTCCAATGAGTTGAAGATGCTGGATCATTATCACTAATATCTTCATCTTGCTCATTCTCTTTCGCCACCAACAATGCCCTTTTTATGAAGTTGATCTTTTCCAACAATCTTTTCACATCGCCGCGAATGTCTTAGTGTGGACAGCCTTAGCTGTTTCTGTCAACAGACTTTCCATTTCTTGGCTTTTACTCAATGGGTGTCTTTCTCCATGGCTTTGACATGTTTTCTGTCTAGAAAATTGCGGCCTTGTAAAGCAGCCTCGTCAAGTATTTCCTGAAGACATTTTAAATAACCAAAAAATTCACAAGCAGCAGCCGTCATTCTTGCAGTGGAAGTACCAATTTTATTATATGATGTGTTCAACTGAGAAAATATTGCTAACAAACAATATATATATATATATACACCATCTTGGCAGATCATACACTATGCTGCACTCACTTCACATAGTTTGTGAAAATTAAATTATATTTCTTTCGTTTGTTGATTCTTCTGAAAACTTTGTATTGATTCAGCCATAAATTAATAGGCATAATTGAAAATGGAAAATAGTATTGTATGCTATCGTGAATGAGTGTTGTTGAGAAATAAATACCTTGTGAGCTATCTTCACTTTGAGGCCTTATTAACCTTCTTTTGATGTATTTTGACTTTCGTAACAAATTTTCCACATCCCTGGAGAAGGATAAGAGGTCTTCAACAGTTGCATCTACCAGTGATTGTTGCCAAAGATGTTTCGAATTCAGTTGCTCTGCTGCCTTGAAAAGATCAATTATTGCTAAACGGAAAAGAGGTTTGGTTATATGGTGTATACTTTGAGGATAAACTTCAACAACTTCTTGCAGTAAATGGATGAAGTCCTTCACATTGTCCACTTGTTCTGTGTTTAGGTGATGGCAGCCGAGTTCATAAGCCTTCCGGAGGACCCCCAAGACGCATGCTAAATCAGACCAAACTAAACTAGCAGCCTCGGACATTGTGGCAGTGACAGAACCAATTTGATACTCCCTCAAATCTTCATCAGTAACAAACATTTCCTTCAAAATTGTCAATGAGTTGATATCATAGGATGTGGCATCATCATCGGAAACATCAATTTCCTCGCCTTCTTTCCCTTCCTCTTTAGCCACCGCCAACGCCAACGCCTTTCTTATGAAGACTATTATTTCCAACAGTCTTTCCACATCTACACGGATGCACTTACCAAGTATTGGCATCAAAGTTTTCGAGCGTAGTCTATCTATCACAACATTCGCTTTATGCGTAGCTAGGGCCATTTCGCGAAGCAAACTTTCCATTTCTTGGCTCTTCCTTGGGTGAAAAACTTTGAAAAAATGTATGGCTTCCTCCACAGCTTCCATATGTTTTGTGTTTAGAGTGTGGCTGCCATGTCGAACAACCTTGTCGAGACTTTCCCAAAGATATTTTGAATAAGCAAATGTTTGACAACCAGCCCCTGTCATTCTTGCAGTGTAAGTACCAACTTGATATCGGACGGACAGTTCTCTATCTATGACGTCAATTCTAGTCCCATTTTCACACTCAAGCTGCTCCTTCCATATTTCCTTTGCCGAATCAATGACAGACTCGCGGCAATAGTCCACAATAATTGATTGCAATGTAGGTACATCTCCAATGCCCATGGGGATCTCCTCCAATAAACGTAATTCAGTAAGTTGAAGGCTCTCAAGAATAGGGAAGTGCACCGATTCAGCTCGCCAACACACTAAATCATTTTTGCCAATGAGCAATTCTTTCAGGCTAAGAAATTCCCCTTGAACAGGCTCCCACTCGGACCCTTCCACATCACCATATATATGAAGATGTTCAAGACTCGGCAATGAACCAACAATTGACATATCCTCCCATGCCATTCTACAATTGTACAAAGATAATTCTTTGAGAGAATTAGGAAAGGTCATGTTCTCCGAGTAATTTCTAATCATTAAAGATTCAAGTTTCTCTAGTTTATCAAGATTACACAGAGAAAAGTTCGATGGTTTTACTCCCCCCTTAGATCCATCTTCATAAGAAACATTCAATTTCCTCAAACTTGGGATCCGATCAATGATTGCCTTGGTACACTTGAAATTGTATATTCCATCTATGGTGTGGAGGTCATTTAGGACAAGAAAATTCTCCCCCTCAATATCGGTGGCAATAGGATCAGGTAGAATTCCTCCTGAAACTTCAATCTCTCTGAGCTGTGGCATCTCCCATATATCTTGAGGCAATTCCTTAAGTGAAGGGCTTAAATAAATTCTTAAACTTTGAAGGTTCCAAAGTAACTTCAATGTTGAAGGAATAAATAATTTCACCTCCTCTAGATAGACACGATGCACTTCAATTGGATGCAAAATTTCTGTGTCAAAACAGTCATCGTACTCTGAAATCTTCACCAAATTAAGTCTTTTAATGTGCAAATACATCTTCATGCAAGCATCACATACAAAAGAATTAACTTGTGATGATAATCCAAATGTATAAGATGATCGCCCAATATGCATTCCTTCTTTGTTTATCAGTATATCTAGACAAAGATTACAGTGCACAACTTTTATAAACCTTTTTTTAACACTTTGGCTTCTAGGTAATTGGAGAAAACATTCATCTTTTGACTCCCTTAAGCAAAGATCTCGTAAAAGATCATGAATGCCGCACTGAGATTCACCTCGATCAAATATTAGATTTCTATCAATGAGACTTTCAACGTACTCTCTTGCAATATCTTCCAAACTTCTAAAACTCATTGATTTAATGAATCCTTCAGCAATCCAGAAATCTACTACCTCCGAAACTGCAATCGAACTATCTTCCGGAAAAACTCTCAAATATAAAAAACAGGGTTGGAGATGAATAGGTAAACTCTCATAACTTAAAGATAGTATTTTCCTACAATGCTCATCATCTCCCAAATTAGCGAATGAGCTAATATGATCTAGAACATACTCCCAATATTTTACCCTCCTTTCAGAGTTTGCAAGCAATCGACCCACAACAACAATTTCTAATGGAAGTCCTCTGCAACATTTTGCAATTTCCTTTGCAAGCTTTTCTAAATGACCGAATGGGCAATCCTTTTGGGAGAAAGCACTTTGACAAAATAAACTCCAACTTTGGTTCTCATTTAAAAATGTTAAAAGATATGGATCATGAGAAGCCAAAGAAGCAGCCATGTTTGAGAGTCTAGTTGTTAACAAAATACGACTGCCATCTCCAGTGTTGGGAAAGTACCTCCGTAAATCATGCCAAGCTCCAGTTGACCACATATCATCCATAACAACCAAATACCTTCTACCAAATAACTTTTGGTAGAATCTAATTCCCAACTCATCTAAACTTTCACATGTTTCATTTTCTCCTGCCTTTTCTTCAAGACCAACTTTAAGGATTTGTTCAGCACTATAATGTTGCGATATGGAAAGCCAAATCCGTAAATCAAAGTGATCGATGACACATAAATCATCAAAGAGACTTTTAGCCAAAGTGGTCTTACCAATACCTCCCATTCCGACAATTGAGAGGATTTCGAGATTAGATTTACCTCTGATGAGCTTGTCCCTGAGAATGTTCACATGCTCATCCAGTCCCACGACAACACTGCTGACATACGCAGCAGCTGCAGACGAGCCACCAGCAGTAACAGAAGCATTGGGTTGCGTTTGAGCTTGAGCATCTTCTCCTTCTTCTTCGATCATTGGAAACTCTTTTTCGATGCTAGCAAACTTTTGGATCAGTGTCTCCATTTCTTCAAAGAAATCTGAGAAGTTTAAAGTATCACTTTCTCCTTGAGAGTTGGCATAGAGTAGATTGGATACGTGGAAGTTCATGGCACCTTCTGCTTCTGTTGCAGCCTCAGCCATTTGCCTCCACAAGCCTCGAAGCTCGGGGCACTTCCTTCCAGAATGAAGCTCGACAAACTCCAGCAAGGAGTTGACATTTTTTTTAAGAGCTTCGACTTGTTTGATGTCAGCACGAGGGACATCAAAGCGTGCACGATAATGGAGATTGTCGAGGACATGAGTGAGAGAAACCAAGGATGCGTAAGCAGCAACAGCCATGTCTCTAAGGTATTGAAGATTGAAAACACAGATGAAGATGAAGACTATGAGAGAAAGAGCGTTGGGATCTATGAAAGGAAATCAAATTTATCTTTAACGTGTGGTGCTGATAATTATGTGCTCTTTAAGGAGTAATAAGTTTTAATTGACTTCATTTTAAGGATTTGGCCATAGGTAGGTTTGATTGGTTACTGAGTTCCAATTAAAATTTCAGTGTTATTAACTTTATAAAGTGATATAAATAATTATTTTATAAAATATTTTTTTAAAAAGATTAATACTACCTGGTCCCCTTGAGAAATTTGAGTTTGAGTTTGGTTTTATTTGAATTTTGAAGTGAGTTTGAATTTACGTTTGTATTTAGGTTTGGATTAAGTTTGGAAAGTTTTGATGTGTATTGATTTGATCATTATGAATATAATAATATAAATGTATATTAATTTGTATAATTTAATTATAAATTTATATATCTACATAGATTTTTAAATTTTTATTTATGTATATTATAAAAGATTTTATTCTCTACATACATTGTGACATATATGTTGTATATATTTTATTAAATTATACATATTATAAAAATTATAATTTACATTTATAATTTAAATTTAAAAATAAATAAATAAACATAGGTATGTCAGCGCCTGTCCCCAAACTTGGGTTGGAGAAAAACACCCTTAGTATTTATCTTTGAATATAAATATTATATTAATACTAAGTACAAACTAAGAGAAAAAAATAAAAATATCTAGTATTGTATAATACAAAATATAAGAATATTTTTACTATTAATTAGTTTGATAAAAAAATTAAAATTAAAACTACATCCTGATTTAAGTAGTTACAGGAATATGAATATATATATATGTGAATATTACAGTATCCAGTTAGAAAAATACAATTCCATTCAATGTAGACACAGGTCTCAACAGTTATACATGAGCACATGAAAGAATAGAATTTAGTAACCAATTCAAAAAACTTATGTACAATATATGTAGTATTTTATTTATTGTATGAAAGTTAAATTAAAATTTGCACAAAATACTCTCATTATAAAAAAAATTGGTATTTAAGTGTAAATATAAATCTAATTATATAAGTTTTATACAAATAAAAATATTAAATAGATTTTATTAATAAAGTAAATAAATAAATAATTGATTAATTCTTACTTTTATAGTTTTTTTTTTTGCAAAAATATTATTATCTGATTTTTATGAAAAACTATAAAGATGAATGATTGATTAATCATTTATTTTTTTATTTTATTCAAATGCGTGTTATTAAAATACAATAGGGTAAGTTGTTACATAGTTTATCCAGTTAAAAATGAAGTATTACATGTTCGTAACGTGGAATATGAAACTAAAGAAGAAAATGATGAAGAATAAGATTATCCAAACACACCTAACAGTCCAAAACTGATAACACGGGTTTGGGGCATGTTCTCTTAATTATTTATATAAGCATATGTCGCAATCTCTGACTAAACTTGTGCTTGATGATGCCAAAATATCTTGGAAAATGTGTTTTTACTCTTTTCTTATATCATTTGATATGTCTTGGTATATTGATAATTTCATTGTGATTGGAGGCAAAGAATGGGAAAATTCCATTCGCGTGGAACATAACCAAGTCATGTAATGGCTTGTTGTGTTGTCAAATCACAATCTCTTTCGCGCTTGTGAAGGCAAGAGATGTTAACTCCTAGAAAGAAGAGCTTGACATTCACTTTTGGAGAGTCACTACGATCCGCATGAGAGTGAATCTCGAACATTGAAATCAGTATATGCAATATTATATCCAATTGAAATTTGTAACCGCCAACCTTCTAAAAGCTTTGCCGGTGCCTATAAAGTGCTCTAGCTATAAGGAGCTTCAGAAGTCTAGCTCAGGTGGTTGGCAACACTTGTGAGAGGAGTCGCGTGCTCGCCATCCATCTTCTTTACTTTTTGCACTTAGATAAATTTATTGCTTTCATAGTGTAAATGCAATGTTCAATTCTTGACATAATAAAGTATCATTTTTCTTCAAATATGCAATGTTCAATTCTTGACATAATAAAGTATCATTTTTCTTCAAATAAAATTAGCTTGGATTCCACACTAATAGGTTGATCCAGGACCCATCGCGAAAGCGATTCCTTGATCGCAATTTGGCTTAGAATATTTGGCAGTAGGTAGGGAGTAAACTAATCTTTTTAATTAATTAGTCATGGTGTCGAGGAGAATGACTCACATGACATATAATAATGGCTTAAAAAATGGGTCATTAGCTCAAGAATTAACGAATTAGTTTGTCGTTTCAACTATTACCTCTAGGCCTAGTAAAGCATTGTGAATGCGACACGCTTAGCAGTCAAATCTTATGCGATCATTTACACGCAACACTCTATCGTACAAAGTATATACATATATCACAAAAATACTCTGACTTCACCGAATCACCACTTGCTTTCTTCATTCCATAATACTCCCTCCGTCCCACATACCATGTCCACGTTGCCGTTTCTGTCCGTCCCACATTCCATGTCACTTTCCTTTTGTTGAAATATGATTATACACTTTAATCTCATATAAAATTTTAATTTTTTCTTTTTGTTTTAATTAAACTAATTAGTTATCTTGATCTTAATTTATAATTATTTATATTATAGGATAATTATTTTCACTAATACATTCTTAATTATTTACTAATTATACTCCTCCTAAAATACCTTGTCTACGGTGTAGCAGACACGGTATGTGGGACGGAGGGAGTATTATATATGTATCCTCAATGCTCACTATTAAACATCCCATCCATTGCCACCATTGCGATATCACGAACCTTGAATATGCCACGCGATCATTTTTCACTTCAATCACCCATCCTTCTTCCCTTCATATATGTTACATAAATATATATTTTGCGATTTAAATTATTCATTTTAATGCAACTCAATTTCATTCTCGATTTCATAAACGTATATATTTATTCGCCTCAAGTTTTTCTTCAATATTAATGCCCCGAGTTCAACCCACACTCATCGATTATCATGAGAAAAATATATTATTTGATAACATTTTTAACTACAACACGACATTCCTTAAATTACCATTAGTTACATCCCACATCTATATGGGCATTAACAAATCTCCCGGGAGAGCGGGTACTCCTCGGGTTTCTTCATCGCTGCAAGTGAGGGTGATTTCCGGCCAATCGCCAGCTGCAAATTCATATATAAGGCGATATAAAAAATCCATGCCAATCGATTAAAGTTGGCTCTGCATTACACGAGAAAGAGGTGCTCCCCGCGATGTATAATCAAGTTGGATCTTTGCAAAGCGTTCGATTATGTTTCATGGAACTTCCTCTACAAGCTCCTCATTGATTTGGATTTTCCGAGGCATCTTGTGAATTTGATTTTGGAATGTGTCTCTATGGTGTCCGTCTATTTGATGATTAATGGCGCCTCATATGGTCTCTTTCAACGAAGAAAAGGCTTACGACAAGGGGATTCACTATCTCCCTACCTTTTATTCGTCTGTATGGAATAATTCTCGAGGCTTCTTAAATCCCAAAGCCACCTTCGTGAGATGAAGTCTCACCCAGGTTGTACGGACCTCAAAATCACACATCTAGCCTTTGTGGATGATATTATTATCCTCTCTCAGAGAGATCATCATTTGGTACGGATTCTTACGTACCGCATTTCCAGCTTTGGGAAAGTCTTTGGCCTCAAGCTGAACATCACAAAATCTAATGTATTTATGGTGGGTTTGGCTGCGGATATGGCTGATTCTCTAATGGAGACCACGGGATTCTCTAAGGGCTCCATCCCTTTAAATATTTTGGTGTGCGCATTGGCCCCGGTAAGCCGAAAGCTACCCACTTTGATGGTTTAATTTCTTCAATTGCAAAACACATTCGGACTTGGAATGGTTGCAATATTTCTTATGCGGGGCGATTGGAGCTTATCCGATCAATTATCCAAGGGATTATTTGCTTTTGGCTTTCTATCTTTCCGATGCCTCTGACCGTTATTCATTATATTTCCAAACTTTGTCGATCATTTCCTTGGCAAAAGAAATCGGCAGCTGTGGCATGGAATCTTATCTGCTCCCCTAAACATGAAGGGGGCTTGGGCTTCGTTCTCTTCTGGAATGGAACTTAATTCTCGCTTGCAAAATATATTTGGAGGCTTCACACGGATAAAGTCCTTGTGGGTTAAATGGATGCACACCCGCTATTTTAACACAGTGCAATTTATGGGAGGGACAATCTAAAAATTTCAGATTTCTACTTTGTAAAAACTTAGATATCTAAATCCCTCTATTCTCTCTTCAGATTGCTGGGTAGCAACTGGTATGCTGCGAACATCTGGAACAGCCCTGCTTTGCCCAAGAATATATTTATGCTGTGGCTTGCGGCCCATGGAAAATTAAAAACAAAGGATTGCTTCACCTTCCTCGACATTGACACGATTTGTATCCTTTGTAAAGAACAAAATGAAGATCTTCAATATCTGTTCTTCCAGTGTTCCTTCTCCTAAAAAGTATGGAATGCAATCTGCTCGTGGCTTGCTGTACCAGGGCGGCCCTATTCCATTGAACAAGTCATCACTTGGATGCAGACTTTAAAGCACAAGCAGCCTTATCGTCTTTTCCTCTCGCTTGCTACTGTTGCAGCCACATGTCTACTATATTTGTAAATAATTTCAAATTCGGGAAAAAAAACACTCTATATCTGTATTTCCCTTTGCTTCTCTCTGCCGATTTTCACTGTATGATACAATACATATATCAAGCCAAGACTTCGAGATCAAGATTCAAATCATCCAATATCTTCAGTAACTAAAATACTTATCTCCTACTTAAAATAAATACTATCCAAAAATATAAAATAAATTACCAAACATAAAAGATACAATCTATGTATATATATATTGGCCAAATATAAAAAGATACTCCATACGAACACCTCCCCTCAAAGTTGGCGTGTGAAGATCACAAACACCCAACTTGCGCAATAGAATCTCAAACGGAGTTGAACCGAGTGCCTTGGTGAACAGAT